AGTAACAAATAGCTATTAGAAACAAGTGCCACGCTAGTAGTAACAAGTGCCTTACTAGTAGTAACAAATAGCTATTAGAAACAAGTGCCACGCTAGTAGTAACAAGTGCCTTACTAGTAGTAACAATTAGCTATTAGAAACAAGTGCCACGCTAGTCGTAACAAGTGCCTTACTAGTAGTAACAAATAGCTATTAGAAACAAGTGCCACGCTAGTAGTAACAAGTGCCTTACTAGTAGTAACAAATAGCTATTAAAAACAAGTGCCACGCTAGTAGTAACAAATAGCTATTAGATTATTTGTTACTAGTTAAAGCACCCCAAATCTCTGGAGGCGAAGAGCTGAGCTTCGGTGAAAAGAGCGCGACCAGGAATTTCTTTGATGTGTTAACCGTTAAACCGTTCACATTGCATTAACTGCTGGGCTCCAGCAAAAATGCCCATGTATACCATGTAATGCTCTCCTTTCATTAGAGAGTTTCCAAGGTATTAACGGTTTGCGACTTGTGTCACATAGAGTCAGCAACGAAGCTGCACCATAGTTTACGAGTCTCAGACTCCCAGTGGTCCAGAGCCGTTTGATTGCCGTCCCTATCAGGGTCTTTTTGCATCTAAACGTAGGGATCTGGAAGCTGACTACCGATGGCACGAGAGCGGCCTTTGGATATGAACAAAACTCCCTGGAACTTCATGAAGCAGTTCCAGGAGGCCTTGGAAAGATCAGATCTATTTGAGTGGGATACCGGGTTGGTGTGCAGCGGGTGGTAGAAAGAATCACACACCAGCTTTATCCCTGCAGGCAACTAGAAAACAAGAGCACGTTGGCGCCTGAGTGCAGACTCTGTGTCACCAAGGGCTGGCATGACAGTTGCACGCTGCAGTACCTGGGTCCACAGTGGACCGTCCCCCATATTTGTGCAAGGGGTGAACGCAGCGTTTTTGTGCCGTACTGTGAGGCACGAGAAGTCTTCGAGTTGCAGCATGGTGGGCCCCGGAGATACAGGCCAGAGAGATGTAGAGATATGTGGTCAGGAGCAAAATCACAGATGTTTATATAGTATTTTATAATCTTTTTATTGGAGATTGAAAGCTCCTGAGGTTTCAAGCACCCGGAGAGCAAGTTGAGATTGTGAAGTCGGAGAGTCAACCTCAATTGAATGGGATGCAAGGCTACGTGGACTTCAGCAGCTGGGCCGAAATGATTCAAGCCTTTGAAGAGCAGGTTACTGTACTTGTTTGCTCTGGCCGAAATGGGGAGCTTTCAGTTTTATTCCCCAAACAGTTCACTGTTAGGGGTTCTCAATTCTTTCTTAAGATGTGTCCGCCCTTTGTGTCACTGATGGTGTCCGCCCATTTCCACTGGCCATGTAGCATTTCTATTCATTTGTCTCCCAGGTCTGTCACTGGTGGTGTCCGCCCTTTTTCGCTGGCGATGCAACATTTCTATTCATTTGTTTCCCAGCAGGTCTGTCACTGCTGGTGTCCGCCCTTTTCCGGTGGCCACGCAGCATTTCTATTCATTTGTCTCAGAGGCCTGTCACTGGTGGTGTCCG